GAGGAAGAGGGGGCAACTGGCTTGAAGCAGAGATTACACGATACCTCTTTGTGTGGCTGGTGGCCAGGTGGCCAGTGACGTGGAACTTAGCAGAAGAAATGGTACATGCTAATTGTTTTCTCAGAAAGGGAAGTCCTTTATGTAAACAAAGTTTTCATTATAAAAGCAGTGTAACTCGGGTTGGGGAAATGGCTCAACAGCCATTTGAAGAAGAGCTTGCCACCAAGCCTAAAGATCTGAGTTCAATCCCCAGTACCCACCTGGTGGAAGCAGAGAACCAAATCAGACTGTTCTCTTGAAGGGACCAGCTCCCCATTTTGGCAGCCATAACAGCTGAACACGTATTTGTCTGACCTTGTCTTAGTCACTAAGGTCAGATGCCTGCCTCGTGGCAAGGAACCAATCAGAAGTTAGCTGGTGGTGCTATGCTTTACGGCTCTGGGTGTGCTTTACCGACAAGTGCACAGCAATGACGTGCAGAGCATAGCAACCACCCTGGGAGGGCCTATGGGCCATAACAACCATTTGGCCAATCAACACAGGGCAAGCCCTCTAAGCCTGGAGCCACACCAATTCTGAGCCTGTGCGTACCCCTAGACACTCCCCTTATGCTGCCCTACAAGATCTCTATGCAGCCCCTTCGAGCTGTCTTTGCTAGCCATCCGCCATGGCGGGTGGGTGAAAGACCCAAGCTAACATGGGGTTAGCTCGTTAAACAACAATAAAGCCTCATGCAGTTTGCAGCAAGCTTTCGAATCTGCCTGGTGATTGGGGTGACCGAGGTCCTGGGCTGAGACTCTGGAGGCCTGAGTTTTCCGGGGGTCTAACACTCTGACCTCTGAAAGTATGCTCATGGCATATATGCATGGACACACACTAAATACAAATTTAAAAATTTTAAATCTGTATTAGTTACCAAAATTGTAAACATCACAGAAATTGACATAGTAAAAAGAGAGTTTTCTGTTGGCTCCTCTGAATGTAAGTCCTGTACTTTGTCAGAGCTCAGCATGAACCCTTTCAGAACTCTCCATGCATAAATTGTAACATAGCTCTGTGTAATGTAACGAAAAATACAAAATCGCTAGACTGCTAAGCACAGCAGTGTACACTGTTGATCCCAGCAATCAGCAAGCAGAGGCAGTCAGATCTCTGATTAAAGGCTAACCTGGTCTACAGAGTGAGTTCCAGACTAGCCAGGGTTACACAGTGAGAACTTGTCTCAGGTTCTTTAAAATGTGTGTGTGTGTGTGTGTGTGTGTGTGTGTGTGTGTGTGTGTGTGTGTGTGTGTGTGTGTTCAAAATGGGAGGGGCGCCTGAATATGTATGTGTGTCCTGTGTGTATAATACCCTTGGAGGCCAGAAGAGGGCATCAGGTTCCTTGTAGCTGGAGTTCCAGGAGGTGGTGAGCCACTCAGTGTGGGTGCTGGGAACTGATCGAGGGTGCTCTTATATACTATCATTTTAGTTATTTGTCATTTTTACCATAAAATGCTTCAGCACGCATTCTTAATAGATTTTTTGCATGTTTGTGCAATCTTTTGTGCAGGATTAATCTCTCAAATTGAAATGTTTTTTATTTGTGACTGATAGAAACTATCTGTACATATGACCGGGGATGTATCTCAGTGGTTGAGTGCCTGGCTAACATGCTCAAAGCTCCATCCTCAGCACCCTAAAGGGGAAACAAGAAATGATGTTTCCATCTTAGATACTTGTTGGGGACCAAATAGTTCCATTATGGAATGTCTTAAGGTCCAGCCTCCGATTTCAGTAAACAGAGCACCCAGGAACTCCGGCCCACTATTGTATTGCTAATTCGAGCAAGTCTGCTATTGTTTAGCATAGCCTCAGTGTGGAATGTCTCCTAGTTTGCATCTCTACAGAACTAAGCATTTAAATGGGCCTGCACCAGGGCAGAGGTGCTAGGTGTGTAAGTAACAAGTGAAGACAGAGAGTTAGGAGCCATCCAGCAGAGAGGAGTCAACAGAAGGACAGAAATGGCTTCCTTGTGGCCGTGGAAGCATGGTTAAGAAACAGCCAAGAAGATGCTAAATAAACAAGAGACTCTAGTTTTACAACATGGAACCGAGCGCTCTCTACAGATGACAAGATGCCTGTGTTTGGTCTTTTTCGCCGTTGGTTTGCTAGGAATTTCCAAGTCCACACTCCCCCACTCAGGCAGAACCTCATGGTTGCCGTGGCTTGGGGCTGAGATGGCCCGGGCTGCAACAGATCTAACAATTTTCATATCTTGCAGATATTTTGTCATGACTCCCCACAGCCCTCTGTATACGCATCGATTCTACATTTTCATGTGGCCAATAATGTCCATCTTTAATATTTCTGAATTATGCAATATATATATACATATAAATGCAGATTTTTCTATACTCAATAATAGAAATTCTTTGTATGATTTCTATTAAGTAGTATTACAGTGGAGTTTTTCCTTGGAATTAATGTTTTAATTCAATTGTAAATGGTTTAATTCAATTGTAATAGATTGTTGCAGATGTTCTAAGTCCCTGAAATGGAAAATCATGACTTTGAAGATCTTTTCTCACTGTATTCTAAAGAATCAAAAGATTGGGCTGGAGGTGTTATTCTTTTGTTCAAAAAGAAGAAAAGAGAAATATTGAGATGGTTATATTGACTATAAGTTTATTATAAGGGCCGGTAGAATGGGGAGACTAAG